GAAAGAAAATTTGCATTTAAATGTTCATGTGATGGATAACGGTCATATTTTTCATTTTAATGAGATAATAATGTAGATCAAACGGGGGCTTAATTGCAGTACAACAATTTAAATGAAATATATGTATATTAAAAAAAAAGATGATTTAGAAACTCATATTGATCGAATTGTACTCACAGCATGAAAAGCCTTCTTGATCTCCTCTTGACTGGCATCTTTAGATATGCCAAGAATTTCATAGTAATCACGTGGTGTGGAATGACAAGCTACTGAAAAATAGTACACGGCATCATAGCATCAAAACTATTTCAAAAAATATTGCAACCATCAATTAAAAAAAAAAGAAAATAGTAGCAGTTACATCATCTTCTTATTTAAAAGAGAACCTGTAGCATGGATAAATCGCTTCGTCTGCAAAGGTCCTGAAGGGGCAAGGCCAGCATGTTCTTCTATATAACTGCAGCTATGTCCATCTGCCAAACGTCGTATAAAAATCCTTAACGCCGTTAATTTCGTATAAAACACAATCATTCATATCCTTCAAGTATAATATCATTACTTTCTTCTTATTCCCCTTGGTAATACTAACATTCTTTCCAATTATTTCAATATGTATTTGTGGGGTGTAGCGTTCTTACTTGGAGAATGGAACAATGCCTGTTGAAACTGGGGAACAGTCCCTCGTAGAACTCCTTTACAAATCGATGATTTTTCAGAAATTGTCTGACGAGACTGGAGTAAGATAAAATGAAGTAAGATTATGCTTAACACGTATTAACACTGTGTATGGAAATGAAATCAAATTACCAAAAAATTCTGCAGAGTTGATTTTGGAAAAAACGCAAGCCATCTTACTCTACCCATTTCGATTTTTCTATGAGACAATTGAAGAGAAACAGAAAATTAACAAATTAAATCGACGGTGAGCAGAGAAGAAGAGAAGAGAACGGTGGAAAAAGCAGAAGCGGGTCATTGATAAAACTCAACACGATTCAGGGTTTTAGGAAAAATTCGAGGCAAAGGAGCAATGGTGGGGAAAGTATATTGTGAAAATTGCACCATTAGTCCTCACTACATTGATCTAGTTGCCGTTTCATCCTAATTGATTGTAAATAGTACCGTTGTTTGGGCTCCATTAAAATCAAAATTTGGAAGAAAATATATTTTGAAATAATAATTTTTTGAAGAATGTATAGTTAAAAAGAATAAAAAATTTTAAATTTACGTGTAATATTATTTTATTAAAGAATGTGTGGTTAAAAATAAGAGATAGAAAAATGCTTTTTTTTAATAAAATAGAGCCCAAACAGTAGCTTATTAATGCCAATGAGATGAGCTGAAATTTCTAAGCTAGGGAGCCCTACTTTTGGCAATTATACCAATAGCTAATAACAATATTTCTTCACCCTTTCAATCTGATCCTCAACTTTTAGAAACTATAATCTAGACCTCGAAATTATAGAAAGTTCCACTATTGCCCCAAAATCCAGCTTTTACTGTCATAGTATGTTCCCGTTCTTTTAATTGTTTTATTTTTTAAAAAATATATATATAAGCCAAAATAAAATATAATTTATAAAAAACAATTATATCTAAAAATTTTAACATTTTAATTTGGAATAATTTATGATATGCCATCTCACACTATGAGTGATGAATCTGATACTATATTAAAGAAGGATGGCTGCACAGTATTCCCGCCTAAGATGCTACCCCAATTTCCCGCCCAAGGGAAGGGCAAAAAAAAAAAGAAAAAAAGTAAAGAAAAGAAAGAAAAAACG